CTCCACCACTCTACAAGCTTAGGTTGTGCCAATAAAGCGTTCTCATTCGTTGAATATAATTTACTGGTTTTCAGCAGTACAACTAGCAAAGCAGTAATGTACTAAAAACCACGGCTACGACGCATTAGATCTGTCCGTGCGGCTATGCGTTTTTGCATGATCCTATTTTGCACAGAGATCGCGTGTACTGCCCATATTACAGTTTAATCATTTCACGTGGACCCATGTCTAGGCGGAGCCTCATCTTACGCTTAGTGGCTCGCACATGAACAGTAAATTTCTTCGGAAAAAAATTCTGCTTCTTTCTCATTTGGGTGCAAACACTGTGCAGAACTAAACATTCACTTGGGCGCATGCGCGACCCGCTTGCGCTTTGAATCTCAAGTTGAAATATTTCGGCAGTACACGGGCACACAATATCCTCGTAAAATTTCCGCTCCTTAGCATGCCTAGTTATCGCTTTTTTACCGAAATCCTTAATGTACGGAGGCTTTCGCCAAAACTCATTTTTCGTACTCGTTTGTGGAAATCAAATATTTTTATGAAATTAAAATATTCTAACCAACTTAGGTCCCAAATCGAATGCAGTAAGTGGATGCATTTTAAAATTAAAATGTCAAACCTCACGAACTCCGGACGTGACCAGATTGCTTGTATAGCCCAAGAAAATAGTACAGGCATTTTTCCTCTTCCCTGGAGGATATGGAAATGTCCCGTCGGCGCCGTCTCCACAATCAAAATGCTCTTCCCGCGCAGATAGCATCCCATTTATTTGCTGCAATAATCAATTGCGTAAATAAATTTTTTATCAAAAAAAAGATGATTTTGAAGAGCAAATTACTGATTCTCCCTTTATCAGATTTAAGATAATAATTCATATCATAAAATCTGAAAAAGTTCCGTAATTTTGCAAAATTTCCACAATTTTTGCATCCTACGTATTCGTTTCAAAAGCGTGCAATAATCCAGGATAACGTCAGTCCGAAAATCAGTTGGATAAAAATCGAATAAAAGATAAGAGAATTATGCCATAACAAACATGAACGTGGCGGATTCCTTTTCAAAAACGACAAAAAAAGAAAGCGCAAATCCAACGTTTCCAGTATTTAGTGCATGATGTTATCAGTTAAATTCAACGGTTGAAGTTATTGCGAAAATACCCATTACTACTTCTTAAAGAAAAGAGGGGTCAAAAATTCCAGTGAATGCCGGTATCATTATTAGGCCGTCGGCCAGGTGATGCAACAATAGCAATTCTCGAACTGAACATATCCACCAACTCGGTAAATTTGTACTTTCGAGAAGCTTTGAAGTCAGAACAGTCAGCAACGATCAGTCAATGAATTTTCTGCTGCAGGATCACCAAAAAATCAATTCTGTGATCTTAAACTTCACTGGAACCAAACACAAAGCAAAGCGGCAGCAAAATAATACCATAAAGGCCATACTAGCAACAGCTACCGGAGGATTCGAAGGTGGTGGCCAGCCTAATAATGATTCTAGTATCCACTTGAATCTTAGATCGCTTTTTCCTCGAATTTTCGATCTTTTTAAAAAGTAATAATTGGTTTTATAGCAGATTGCCCAATTATTGAACTTAAATGATAACAACGGAAACTAAACGCCAGAAATTTTACATAAATGTCGAAGAAGATACCTGGACAGCCTGCGCCATATGAGATGCTTGAAAACCAGTAGAGAGGTAAGAATTCAACAAAGAATCATAATCGATGCCCTCATTGAAATCATAGCCCTTGATTTCAATTGACCCGGCAGGCAGTGGTACGGATTTCTTGAAGACACAGCTCTGCGCAGATGCAACATCAGCAGCGCCAGTTTCCATCTCCGAAAAATCGTATGAACCGAACAAATCAAGCGTTGGTCGTTATTCCGATGTTCCAACCTAAAGCCCGAGTTGGGCGAATTTTACAACTCAAAAAACAGAATAAGCTTGAAATTCCGAGAGCAAAACTTTCGATGCGCTTAAGGCCATTACTCGAAACAACAAATCGATGCCTTTCCATTTCCTTTTCGCTATCCCCCT